TGCCACTCCTCAAAATTTGGGACCTTCCTTCTTGCTCTTTCTTCTCCCTGTCCCCTTCCCCAGCCAACTCTGGATATCATCCAACCAGGTGCTTTTTCATCCGTGAAATCTCACTTTAGGTATGAATTCTTCAAGAAAGTCTTCCTCAAAAAAATGTATGAAGGATCAATTAGACCTCTTTTGCCCATGTTACACCATCTCACCTGGAACTAAATAATTACGTTAGAATGTTAGCTCTGTCAGGGCGGGGTCTTATCTACCTTCTTCATCGTAGAACCCCCTTCACTTAGCAGAGAGCTTTGCATAAAGGTTGTGTTGAAAGAATACGGGGAATTAGAGCTGGAGTCCTATCCCATGAACCACATGAGTGTGACCCAGTGGCCTCTGCACCAACCTCCACCACCACAGGCCATGGCTGGCTCCCTGACACTAGCTTAGGGCACCTCACAAGCTAGAGGCACAGGAGGAGGGCAGTTTTCAGAGGAATATCCACTTTTCTGAGGAGAACCTGCTTCAAAAAACTGCAGGGGGAGTTAAACATCAGAAAGAATGCTCTGATGGACCCACTGGTGTGGCAGAAGGACCTGTTCAGCCAACAGTGAAATCTGCCCCCCTGTGTCCACAAACGTTCCTGAGAGCTCAGGATTGCGGATGCGAGGGAGGATGGCTCTGGTGTGGATCAGGTTCAGTCCTCATAGTTGTCTCTCTTCTTGGTTACAGAAGATGCCACTGCTGGTCCTGCACAACCTACTGAGGACCCTGCGAGCTGTGAGTTCTCTCCCTCTGGTCCCTGCCCTGGGGAGGGTCGAACAGCTGGGATGTCAGTGGAGGCTGGGGGAGGAATTCAGGGAGAGGGGACTGGGTCCTGATCTTGGTGGTAATAGAAGAGCATGGATTGGGGTGGGACAGGTGTAGGGAAGAAGCAGGAGAACTCATACAGGCAAGGTTAATGGGAAAAGGCTTTTGTGAATAAAAGGGAGAAAACGATAAGGTAAAATAATAATTGCAATGTCCCATGCAGTATGCAGACCTTTACCTGTAAACAGCTTTCGTGACTCCCAGCTCCTTTGCAAGGTGCCCACTATCTGGCCTCAGACCCCATTTCCAACCTTCTTTCCCATGCCTCTCACTCATGTACCACCCATATCTGCTAAATTTCACTTCTTTGCATTCCGCCCACCTGCCCCACACATGCCTTCCCCAGAGCTCTTGCTGACTCACTTCCTGCCCCCAAGGAAGCCCCTTTAGAACAACCTCCCTGCCAAAATCCTGCATTCAACACCCAGCTTCTCTCTCCCATGCTCCCTGATTGCCCCCACACTCCTCTCCCAATTCCTCCCCAACCATGCCCAGAACAAGTGCCCAGCCTGCCCATCTCCCGAGAGGCTCTGTCTTAGTCCATTCATTCGGGCTACAACAAACATCCATAGACTGGCTTACACAGCAGAAAGGTATTTCCCATGGTCCTGGAGGCTACACGTCTGAGACCAGGGTGTCTGCATGGTCAGGTTCTGGTGAGGACCCTCTTCCAGGTTGAAGGCTGCCAACTTTTCATCGTATCCTCACATGGTGGAAAGAAGGGGAGAGAGCTCTCTGTGGTCCCTTCCACAAGGGCACTAATGTCATTCATGAGGGCTTCACCTCATGACCTAATTACCTCCCCAAGGCCCCACCTCCTGATACCATTCTGTTGGAAGTTCAGATTTCACCAGATGCATTGGGGCAGGGCAGTGGAGTGGGGGGGAAGAGTCAAACACTCATCTATAATGAGCACATAGTATGTAGAAATCCCACATCTCTTAAGAGGGAGAGTTTATGCCATATCATTTCTATAACCTGGCACCCAGAACATATTAGGTATCTGAGGCCCTGCCACCCATTCCTAAGGAAAAAAAACACACTTGACTTTGCTAAAATCAACAAATCTGTGTGTTTGTAACTCCAGTGCAATCTGATGCACCCCAAGAGACAACCATAGCAGCCCAGACTTCAGCGGCAGCCCAGGACACTTCGGTGGCACCCGAGGAGCCAACCACCGAGCAAAGAAAAAATCTCCTGGGTAAGTCTCTGTGTCTATAACGGATACAATCCAAAGAAATCTCTGGCATCAAGTTTACATGATGCCTCTGTCCACAAAGACAAGCCCAGAAGAAGCAGACATTCATTCATTCACCTGAACACAACGCACAAATGAGGTGAACCCTACACCCAGAGTCTCTGCAATAGTAGATTTGGCTGCCTGCACTATACATGGTTTCTCTCCTGGCCCACTCACTTTCCTATGAGAGAGAAGCTGGGCCCCTGAGCAAAACTTCTGCACTTTAGGAATTTATACAAGGATAATGGGGGAAGAGAGGAAGAGGTGGGAACTCTCTTTAAATGACATGGCTTTTCTGCTGATGTGACTCTTCTGCTCCAAAATTAGAATCCGTGATAGAGAAAGGTAGATCGGACCTAAAAGGTGTCATTGCAGGAGCAAAAAAAACGGTGGACGAAAGAATTCAAAACGCTAAAGGTAAGTGCATCCTATGGCAAAGCCTTTTGGGAACAGGAGTGCTCACCAGCCACCAGCCACGAGCCAACTGGGGAGGTGGGAAAGACCATGCCCTCACCACCACCCTACACAGGAGATCTGGGACTACCTCAGCCCCTCTCCATTGAAATTTCCTTCATTTGTGCCTTCAAATGGCTCAAATTTCTCATCCACATAAAAAATGCATGGTTGTCTGATACCAGATGCCCCTGGGGTCCTACCCCCAACCTTCCACTGCAGAGCCTGCTTGCTCATTTCTCTTCCTCTCACTCCTGCCCAGGTTGGGGGATAGGGCTCATCATTTGGCCTCCTGTGAATCTAACCTCCCTCCCTCTGACTTCTGGGTCAGGCCTCAGGGGTGCAGTGAGGTTGGAATGAAGATTGAGTTGAGGATGGAATGTGTGGGTGGTGCTTTCGGCCCTTCAAGCCTCATTCCCATCTCTGCTTTCTTCCAGATGCTCTGAAGAAGAGGTTGGGTCCAATCATATCTATCATTTGAGAAGCTATAAAGAATGGGATCTGGGAATTTAACGCCTTAATCATGTGTATGGCTCAGAGCAATTAAATTGAAAGCATTCAACTTGTTGTGTGCCTGTGTTCTGTAGGGTGGGCCTGAGGGGGAGGGAGGAAAGCCCTGCCTGGAGCCCATACCCTGAGCCGGGCACAGCCCACTTTCAGGACACTGCCTCTAACAAGCCCTTTTAGTCACACTGAGCCACAGCCACATGTGCTGGGCCTCCTGCTCCAAATGCCACTCGGTTCGGTCTGCCTCCTCCTTCTTCTTCACACAGGGCTCCTAGTGACATTTGAGCAGTTCCAAAAATTAAATCAACCTCCAAAGAGCCAGGATTTGTCATCCTGAAAAGAGTCAAATCCTGAGTTATTGCTACAAAAGCCACTTCCTTGTGGCATTAGTAAAAACTGCATCCCTCCTGCCTTCCACTCACAATTTCCACACCGGGCCAGTTGATTTACTGAGCCTGGCTGGTGTGGCTCAGTGGATTGGTCATCGTCCTGTGCACTGATGCGGGTGTGCAGGAGGCAGCCAATTGATGTGTCACTTTCACATTAATGTTTCTCCCTCCCCCTTCCTCTCTCTTTATAAATCAACAAAAAAGTTGAGAGAGAGAGAGAAATTGGGACACAGACATACACAGAGTGAAGATAATGTAAAGTCACACAAGAATAGATGGCCATGTGACCAAGGAGGCAGGGACTGGTGTGATGCCAACACCAGGAACAAGAAGAGATAGAGAAGGGTTCTTCCCTACAGGTTTCGGAGAGAGCACGGCCCTGTTGACACCTTGATTTTGAACTTTTAGCCTCCAAAGCTAAGCGACAATAAATTTATGTTGTTTTAAGTCATCCAGTTTATGGTAGGAAACTAACACACACCCCTATTCCCATATTCAACATCTCAGCAGGCTACTGGTTCTTCTTATAACTGGAAGGTCACAGCCTTTGGCCACCATCACCCATTTCCCCCACCTCCTAAGCCCTGGCATCCGCCAATCTACTTTGTTTCCATGAGTTTGGTTTTTTAGATTCTACATATAAATGAGATCATAAAGTATTTGTCTTACTCTGACGTATTTCTCTTAGCACAATATCCTCTAGCTCTACCCATGTTATTGCAAATAGCAGAATTTCCCTTTTTCTCGTGGCTGAATAATAGTCCATTATATTGATATATATGTCTTTTAGTTTTTACTGCACAGATCTCTTTGGTTAAATTTATTTCTCAGTGTTTAATTCTTTTATTTCAGTATGTTTTTTAATTTATCTTTATTATTGAAAGTATTACACAACTTCCACCCACCTCTCCATTCTCATCCTGTGAAATTAATGTCCCCACTTGTGCTACCTCTTTACCAGATATATAACTCTTCAGAACCAAGTCTACGTGTGATCCATCTCTATATCCTGATACTCAATGGATAATAGATGCTTACTTCACAAATGGCTTCTGTATTGAAAGATGGAGATTCATGTAGGCACCGGCAACTCAGGCCCATACCTGCGCACACTTCTCCCATCCTCCCCACTGACAGTACCCACACAGGCTCTTGTGATATCTGCCTTCCAGCACTCCAACACACCCCAGGTCCTCCCCCTTCCAAGGAGAGAAAACTTTAACCATCTCGCACCCAAATCTCTGTGCTTTGGAAGGTACAGTGACCATGACAAAGTCTGATAAAGGGGAAACAGTTTCCCAGATACTGTTTCAGAGAAGAACCCAGGCCCAGTGAAATCTTTCATCCCCACAGACAACAGCAGCAGTCCAAAGGCCCTAGCAGACCAACAAGGAAAAAAGGCATAGGCAGCTTCCCCTTGTGGATGTTACTTTAACACGTTACCTTTGTTGGGGTGTGGGGAGCAGAAGGTGGTCTCTCTGACACATACCACTCAAGACACATACAAATGCATTTGTGTCCAGCTAAAAGGCAAAGCACAGCTTTACACCCCCCTTCCCACCTCCAATTTCATGAAATGACAAGAAGTAATAAACAATTTTAAAAGGATTATTTCTGGATTTGCAATTGTTTTCCTAAGTTCTAAGTTTATGGAAGTTTGATGTTCAGCTATGAGTGATATTTTAAATCATTGATTTTCAACTGGTATGCCACAAGAATTTTTAAAACATGCGATACCTGACTATTTAGTCAGGAGGAACACTAACCTCTTTTCCCTTAAATTGTCAAATAAAAAAAAAATAACAATGGCCAACACAACAACAGCCCTCCAGTGTGAATGAATCAAAATATATCTCTTTTTTTGTGAGATTGACAAAAAATATATTTTTGCTATGCTGCAGAATTTGAGTAATTAGTTTATATGTTCCATGAGCTGAAAATCACTGTTCTAAATAAATTATATACAAATTAATAAGAGAAAAACTCAATAACACAATTCCAAATATAATGAGAAGGAATAAAGATATATCCACCAACATCTTATCTCTGAAACCAATTAAATTGATTTACCGCAAGAAAAACAAATACAGATCTATAAATTCCATTTTGAATGAAAATGGAGAGGACTTACAACCCCAAATAATACTTTCCTTTTTCAGTCTGTAGGCCGACGCTCTATCCACTGAGCCAAACCAGTCAGGGCCTACTTTCCTTTTTAAAAAATATTTTTTATTGATTTCAGAGAGGAAGGGAGAGGAAGGGAGAAAAAGAAACATCAATGATGAGAGAGAATCATTGATTGGCCACCTCCTCCACACCCCACACTGGGCATGAAGCCTGCAACCTTGGCATGTGCCCTGCCTGGGAATCAAACCATGACTTCCTGGTTCATAGGTCAATGCTCAACCACTGAGCCACACCAGCTGGGCCCAAATAACACTTTTTATGAAGAATTTCTGCCAAGTCCAGTGAAACTGGAACCAAATTGAGGGAAGATGCTGACAGTGTCCCATGATGACAGCTCATGCGCAGAGCAGACAAATACAACTTCTCTAAAGTGCATGATATACTCAGAGGAACAAAATCAAAGACACCTTGTTTGAAACTAGATCCACCATATGTATGAGACTGCTCCTGAGAAAGAGAACTGAGCACCTAGAAAAGAAAAGCAGAATTAAAGTCATAATTAAAGTGTTCCTTAAAAATAAAAGAAAATTTGAATCTGGCTAGGGTATGGGGAAAATAGGGAGTTGTTTGATGGATGAAGAGTTTCAGTTTTGCAAGTTGAAAAAAGTTCTGGAGATTGGTTGTGCAACAACATAAATGTACTTAACACGATTGAACTGTACCCTTAAAAATGGTTTAGATGGTAAATTCTATGATATATGTATTTTACCACAAAAATAACTAAAATTAATAATAAAAATGTGAGCCCTAGCCGGTTTGACTCAGTGGATAGAGCCTTGGCCTGGGGACTGAAGGGTCCCAGGTTCGATTCTGGTCAAGGGTACATGGCCGGGTTGCAGGCTCAATCCCCAGTAGGGGGCATGCAGGAGGCAGCCAATCAATGATTCTCATCAATGATGGTTCTATCTCTCTCTCCCTCTCCCTTCCTCTCTGAAATCAATAAAAATATTTTTAAATAAATATAAAATAAAATAAAAAGTGGGAATCTACAGATTGAAAGGAAAAACAGATTCAAAAAGACAAATGCTGAGAACTGGCTTAATAAAATTTCTTATATTCAAAATTAAAAAAAGAATCATTAGAAAGAGGGAAGGAGATTAAGTACAAACTTCCAGTTGTAAAATAGGTCACAGGATGTAAAGTACAGCCTAGCGAATACAGGGAATATAACTATGTACGGTGATAGGTGGATACTAGACTTATTGTGGTGATCGCTTTGTAAGGTATAAAAATGTTTAATCACTATGTTGTACACCTGAAATTAATATCATATTGCATTTCAACTATAATAAAAAATTGAAATTTTAAAAAAGAGAATCATTGGGCATTCAGGTAAAACTATCAGCATAGCTACTGAGGAACTGAGGGGGAAGAATCTAATCTAATAAAAGAGAAACATGGTAATTAGCGTACGACCGCTACCCTTCCCATTGGCTAATTATAGAGATATGCAAATTAATCACCAGCCAAGATGGCGGTTAACTGCCAACAAAGATGGCGGTTAATTTGCATATGTAGGCACAATGCAGGGAGGCAAAAGGGAAAGCACAGAAGAAGCCCCCTGCCACTGACAGTGATCGGATACCCAGGGGGGAGCTAAGAGCAGGGGGGGGCTTATTCTCCATTCATGCCCCCCAGCCATGAATGGAGAATAGGGCACCTTTGGCGAACTGGCCAGTGATAGCGGGAAGTAGGGGTGGAGCCAGCGATGAAAGCTGGGCAGGGGCGGCTGCAGCTGCGGGTTGCTGCTGCCCGGGCCTAACGCCTCGGCTAGAGGCATTAGGCCCAAGATCATGGTGCGGCTGCAGCTGGGGGCTCCCCTGCCCAGGCCTAATGCCTCGGCTAGAGGTGTTAGGCCTGGGCAGGGGCGGTGCCAGTGATCATGGGGCGGCTGCAGCTGGAGGGGGTCCTCTTCCCGGGCCTAATGCCTCAGCCAGAGGCATTAGGCCTGGGCAGGGGCGGAGCCTGCGATGGTGGGGCGGTGCAGCTGCAGGTCACTGCTGCCCGGAGCCCAAGATCGCAGGGCGGCTGCAGCTGGGGGGGTCCCCTGCCCAGGCCTAATGCCTCGGCCAGAGGCGTTAGGCCTGGGCAGGGGCGGTGCCAGAGATCATGGGGAGCAGGGGCAGAGTCGTCAATGGTGGGAGCTTGGGGTACCCTGCCCAGGCCTAATGCCTTGGCCACAGGCGTTAGGCCTGGGAAGGGGTGGAGCAGGAGATCCCTTGGAGAGCTGTGGGTCCCCTGCCCAGGCCTAATGCCTGGGTGAGAGGCATTAGGGCGGAGCCAGCCATCGCAGGGAGCAGGGGCCCAGTTGACGATGGTGGGGAGCTGGGGGTCCCTTGCCCAGGCCTAATGCCTTGGCCAGAGGTGTTAGGCCTGAGCATGGGCAGAGCCAGCGATCGTGAGCAGGGGCGGCGTGGGCGATCGTAGGGAGCTGGGGGTCCCCTGCCCACCCTGATCTGGGACACCCTTCAGGGCAAAC